GTCTTCTTGTTAGTAGCTTTAATATAATAGAAGACCTTGTCTGTTTTGTAATTAACACATCTTTACTGGAGAGATATTTGGAAGTGATTGCTGTGAATATACTGGTTAGTAAAATAAACACAATCACACACCACTTTCTGTTATCAGACAAATTTGTGAATTGTACACATTATACTCCAGATCAACAAACTGTGATATAACAGCCAAGTAGAAGACACATTTATATAACCCTTTATTTTTCTGAAAATATGTATTCAATCTGACCTTGCAAATATAATTAGCTTGTGGGATGTGTGGATTTCAGTACCATGGATGCTTTACTAATTGCAGCTCTTGGAAATAGATACTAAATATTTGGAAGCTGCCAATACAAAATAAAAACTGCATCTTTTTGTACATCTGTCTTAGCTTCAAAAAGCATAATCATCTAAAAAACAATAACTATACAGCACTCCTTTAAGCATTTCCCCAGGGTCAACAACCCACAGTAGAGCCTGCATAATGTATTTTTAGAAACAAAATTTACAATTATCTTCAGTGTACTTAATAAATTTGAGGATAGCTATAATTAATATGATTCATAGTTATTCAAAATCTAAGACAAGCACTGGACTCTTGAATTGACAACTGGATAAAAATCTGGCCTTTTATAGTTTTCATACAGTTATTAAAAAAAATGGCTTGATTAAAATTTAGGATGCTTAGTCGCTAGTCTTATTTTAGCTTCTTCTGAGAGTGTAAATGCCATATATAATATCACTACTTTTTCTGAAACAGTCTTCACAACTTTGTGGAGTATTTAAAAAAAAAAAAAGAAAAGAAAAGAAAAATTTCAGGAGTACTTTACACACTTGATTCTTCAATCCCTCCAGTATCAAATCTACAAAAAATAATGAAAGAAACTGTCCTGTTTTGCAAGACCAACTATATTTTAATGGTAAACTTCAGTTAGAAATAAGTCAGCCTTTTTTGTTTAAATTAAAAAAATTTCTAACATCAATATTTTTTCCTGTGAAGCATCTACGACATATGGTGACTATCTTTAAAAATGTATTGTGTCCTTGGAATTCAAATAGTAATGTATTGTTTATGCCATATGTTTATGAACAAACATACCAGTGCTTAAAGATAACTCTGGGAAGGATATAATGTGGTTATGCCAGGTGTGGAAAAAGAAGTAATGTCCCATCTA